CCCCAAAACCCCAAAACCCCAAAACCCCAAAACCCCTTAGTTTTACAAAGATTGAATTAATAAATTATATACAACATCTGCAATGAATCTAGAATTAATCGACTCAGTTCCTGCTTCCACTCCTGGTACAATTATCTTCCTTTGAAATACTTTCTTTGTTAAGCTCTTATTTCCTTTTATTCTTTTTACTTTCATACTAATAACATTTTATACAAGGAAATGATCACCAAGAAGATATTTTTGGAAGCAAATTTAAGCCATGGGATGATAATATTGACAATTTCCTTTGGTCACCGGTGATGAAGATCAGCTGTACCAACAAAAATACCAGTGAAGATAGTTTATTAACCTCTAGAATCCAAATAGAAATAAAAAACTTAAAAATACAAGTACAGGTTCAGACAGTAAAACAGAATTGCAAAAATAAGAGAGAGGACCTGAAGAAAACTCTCAGCCCATCTGGTGGAGCCAAGCCTCAAGAGTCTAAAATATCTCAAAGTTGCAAAAATTCGTTGACTATACTTCCATTGTAAGACTCCCCATTATTTTCTAGGAAGAAACCTAGCAACCAGATGCTATCAAAAATTAATGAAGAGCTTAAATTTCTAAAACAGAAGAAAGTGGAAATGGTTTTCAACAGAGACTCTTACTCCACAAATAATAAACTAAAGCCCTATAAAAAATCTAAAATTGATCCCAAGTTCCTAAAAATGTCAAAAGAGTCAACTAAGGTAGCCATCCATGTCGTAAATTTTTAGAGAAATAGCCTTTTGCAAAAAGTGGGACAAAAAAGTTTAGAGAAAATAAACCAGATTCAGAGCCATTCGGTGATACAGAAATTGCAGAGACTTTCGAAAATGAATGAAAGAAAGGCCGCAAGATATAAATAGTAAAGAATTTATTTGAAATTTATAGTAATCTTAAACAGAGTCGCAATGATGAATCAGATAGACCGAGAATGCAAATAAGCCGTTCTAGTAACACAAAGAAACTAAAAATTAACAAAAGTTGTGTTGAACTGCTTCCCTTTATGGAAAGTAAGGACTCCAAACTAAGCAAAGACCTTGACCCCAACTTACCAAAGCCCAACTACAAACTACGTATTCCCAATTTTGACTCTCTGAGCCACACTTCCAAAATCCTCGGCAAGCATATCCCTCTTCATATGCTCCAAGGACACTTGACAAAGTAAGTTCTCCACTCCTGACCAACAATTAGGCCTAAAAAAGCAGGCCTGAACATAACTCCTCACAACTTTCTATTCAAAGTTGAGGTCAAGACCAAAGGAGTTTCAGGCAAGAAATCCTAGCCGGTTTAAACCATGCACTGAAGTGTTGAGGAATCAATTTATGCGAGTGGGTCAATAAAGTGTTACTTTTTGGGGTTTTGGGGTTTTGGGGTTTTGGGG